CTCAGCCTGGAGAAGAGTTCAGCTCCATGGTCTGGTGGTCAACCACTCAGCCTGGAGAAGAGTCCAGCTCCATGGTCTGGTGGTCAGTCCCTCAGCCTGGAGAAGAGTTCAGCTCCATGGTCTGGTGGTCAGTCCCTTAGCCTGGAGAAGAGTTCAGCTCCATGGTCTGGTGGTCAGTCATTCAGCCTGGAGAAGAGTTCAGCTGCATGGTCTGATGGTCAGTCCCTCATCCTGGAGAAGAGTCCAGCTCCATGGTCTGGTGGACAGTCCCTCAGCCTGGAGAAGAGTTCAGCTCCATGGTCTGGTGGTCAGTCCCTCAGCCTAGAGAAGAGTCCAGCTCCATGGACTGGTGGTCACTCCCTCAGCCTGGAGAAGAGTCCAGCTCCAGTTTCTGGTGGTCAGTCCCTCAGCCTGGATAAGAGTTCAGCTCCAGTTTCTGGTGGTCAATCCCTCAGCCTGGAGAAGAGTTCAGCTCCAGTTTCTGGTGGTCAGTCCCTCAGCCTGGAGAAGAGTTCAGCTTCAGTTTCTGGTGGTCAGTTCCTCAGCCTGGAGAAGAGTTCAGCTCCATGGTCTGGTGGTCAGTCAGTCAGCCTGGAGAAGAGTTCAGCTCCATGGTCTGGTGGTCAGTCCCTCAACCTGGAGAAGAGTCCAGCTCCAGGGTCTGGTGGTCAGTCACTCAGCCTGGAGAAGAGTTCAGCTCCATAGTCTGGTGGTCAGTCCCTCAGCCTGGAGAAGAGTCCAGCTCCATGGTCTGGTGGTCAGTCCCTCAGCCTGGAGAAGACTTCAGCTCCATGGTCTGTTGGTCAGTCACTCAGCCTGGAGAAGACTTCAGCTCCATGGTCTGTTGGTCAGTCACTCAGCCTGGAGAAGACTTCAGCTCCATGGTCTGATGGTCAGTCCCTCAGCCTGGAGAAGACTTCAGCTCCATGGTCTGGTGGTCAGTCACTCAGCCTGGAGAAGACTTCAGCTCCATGGTCTGGTGGTCAGTCCCTCATCCTGGAGAAGACTTCAGCTCCATGGTCTGGAACAATATGAAGTTGAAGCATCTGTCTGGAGTCTTAAATACTGTCAAAGGTGAGCTGGAAGATCTCAAAGACATTGCAAAGGACGAGATTCATGTTGTTGTGTTTAATTCTTCAACTTCTCGGTTTTCTAAACCCATTTACATCTTATCTATCAGACACGACAACATCCTGGGATCTTGATACAGGAAATTCTTCAACGCTTGTCTAACCTACTTACTCTTGTGGAATTTTTTGGTGGTGACCTCGACTCTGGCTGCTTCAACTCTCCTGTCTGCAGTATATAAGAAATTTTCCGCCTATATGATGTACTTTCCTTAAGATTGATGGACTGAACACATCGACTCAAGGTTGAGGGACTGATTACCTCAAACTCCTCTTTTTCCAGCATTTATTTCTGTACCGGACTGAGGAAGCTATTTATTTGCATAACGTTTCCACGATAAAAATTCCCAAATGTTGTAAAAGTGTCTAATTTTTAACGTAATTTCATAAGAGTGGAGGAACACTGCAGAAGGCCTACTGGCGCATACAAGGCAAATCTGTCTGATTTCAACTTATCGTTTTTTTTAAAGCGATGAAGTCATTATTATTATTATGATTATGATTATTATTATTATTATTATTATTATTATTATTATTATTATTATTATTATTATTATTATTATTATATACTATTATTCGCGTTACTAGTACTTAAAGTAGTATTTATTAAATTATTGTCATTTAATGTTTGGCGGTCGATAACCAAGTTGAAACTTAATGAAGGTGTCGATGATGTGAAGAGTTTGAGGAGTCGTGAACCAGACGAGCAGCTTGAAGAACCACAGAAGGCTGGGCGAAATTAATGAAAAATATTATAGTCAACGTCTATTCACTGCTGGTGGTCGCCCCTGTGGGATATTCATTTTTTTTCTATTAAAAACTCAATAATCTCGTTTAATTAAATAATATTTTACTGATTTGTGGAATTGAAATTAGTGTTGTCAATTAGCGTATTAGTATGTTTGTTTAATACTCAAATTACAATGTAAATTACGTATAAATGCCTCAGTTTATCAGCCAATAGACGAATAAATGAAAGGATGGCATAGTGTTTTGTCACCAGCTGTTGGTATCCTGGGACACATAAACAAGTCCGTCATGCAGAGGAGACGCCAAATAAATTAACTAATTTGCTGACTTACACCTCAATAATTGGTTGAACAGAGTGCGTATAAACACATACCAACTCAAGGACAATATCACCAAGAAACCTCCAGGCACCGATATCGTTTGCTATTCGAGAGTGAACCCTGGCGTACGCTTTGAGAAGGTTGTCATGTATATACCAAGTTAAACTAGGAGACAGTGGGCTAGTTACATCGAGATTTTTTTTTTTATATTTTATTTAAAACCAACAAATAGACAATAGACAAAAGGAAAACCATAAAGATGACAATATATGAACAATAACTGAAAAAACGTTACATTAGATATTGAAACATTAACGAATAACATAACAATATAACAAATATGACCACTATTACCTACATATAAAATCAGATACCGACGCTTAAAACTGTCCTATACTAGCTACATGTGGATAAGTTAACTTTCTTAAAAACATGCAAACCTATATTAACTCTTCCTCAAATTAATCATCCTTGCTCTTAATTTACACTAGAATAATAAAATACAAGTATACTTTCATTATTTCGTTACAGACTAAATTCCTTCTGCTCAGAGCACGGGAAGAAATATAGGATAATTAACCAATGATGTCAAGAACACATCTAAGCGAAACCTACACCGACCATACAGGTCCATGAGAACTGCACGGTCCGCGCAGCTGCTCGCCCAGGTGTGCACATGTACATTACACATCGTACCTACAATTAGATTTAACTCAACAGACATCGAGATTGTTGGTATTAAAGGAGAAGTAAATAATTCCTTCTTGCGTTACCTATCGCTAGGTGGTACAAATAGTCTAATCACAAATAGCCAAAACACTATTTTTAGTGATATGGTAATTGTCACTCAAATTAGAGTCAGGGTACATCATGTCTTGAGTATTTTAACTCCAAAATATGCGTTCTAAATTCACTTTGTTTAGTATTTACTGAAATATACTTGTTTTCTTAATAATTAAGAAATAACGTACGACGCAGTGACTCTCATTTTCATCACTCAGCTGATTATCCACCTCAGACTGATAATTAAATAGATGTTCTTAGAATTTACAGAAAATACACTACATTTTGATATATGGTTTATTAAACACAAATAAACTGTTAAACATTATTACGCTGTCTAGGTGCTCGTGGTCAGTTGGTGGCGGCTTCAGCTCACAACCGAGCTGATATCTAAGTGTTAGTCGACTATAGTAGGTTCACAGTCCTGGGGGGGGATGACTAAACGACCCCATTGGAAATAAGCCAGTCTCATGACAGTGGCTTAGTTGAATTATCCTGGTTTAATAGCCCTCCAGGTTAATAATCAGATTACAGTCTTCCTGCTGTACTTATCGCCAGGTAACGCGAGAGTGCGGACTTAAGAACAGACTCCGGCTGCATTATTCACTAATAAACAAGGTTAAGTGCAATAATGATATTTCTTGCTACATATTCCTCAAGTCGTTAGTTACAAAATCCGTCAGTAAGGAATCCTGACACAGTTCTCACTCTTCCGACGACCCATTACTACAATATTCCATAAGTCGCTTCACACATTTCAAACAGCGGAATGAACAGCAGATTTACGTTGAGAGATGTACACATCTGCGAAAGAAAAAAAACAGCAACAACGACTAGAATTTGTTAGGTAAGACACATATGCAACAGTTAGGTATCATATTGTTTCATACTATGGAACAATGCTCTTCTCCAGACTGAGGGACTGACCACCTCAAAACTTTAAGGGTGATGGACTGATTACATCGTCTTCAAGTATCTTCTGCTTCTATCAACTTTTCTGTACTCGACTGAAGAAGCCTACTGTGTAGGCGAAACGTTTCGAAATAAAGATACCTAACTGTTGCATATGTGTCTTACCTAACAACCTGTCGGTATTTTATACCATTTTAATGTTCAACGACTAGAATTTATTTGGTACGTTACTCTTAGATATAAATTTACATGCACTAATTTATTTTGAAAAAAATAAAGCAAACTTATGTTAGTTTTCCTGCTAAAAAATAGAGGCAAAAACATTAACATTCTTTTGGTATAATGAAAATTAATTTTATACAAGACATAATTGGCTTGAAATGTTAATTTTCTAGTAGACGTTATTAAATGTTTATAATTATATTTTGAAGCAATTATATACATGACTAAATTACCAGATTTTCATTAGTTACTCTTTAGTTCACAACTGTAAGACCAAGATTCCAACAACGAAAAAAACAGACACGTCGGGCGTGTTTCCTTAAACCTGTCACCTCTGTTGTCAGAACAGTGAGGAGGTACCGTGGGTGTCAGGTGACTAGTGTGGGTCACATAATGTTGTCAGACAGTGAGGAGGTACCGTGGGTGTTAGGTGACTAGTGTGGGTCACATAATGTTGTCAGACAGTGAGGAGGTACCGTGGGTGTTAGGTGACTAGTGTGGGTCACATAATGTTGTCAGAACAGTGAGGGGGTACCGTGGGTGTTAAGTGACTAGTGTGGGTCACATAATGTTGTCAGAACAGTGAGGGGGTACCGTGGGTGTTAAGTGACTAGTGTGGGTCACATAATGTTGTCAGAACAGTGAGGAGGTACCGTGGGTGTTAGGTGACTAGTGTGGGTCACATAATGTTGTCAGAACAGTGAGGAGGTACCGTGGGTGTTAGGTGACTAGTGTGGGGTCACATAATGTTGTCAGAACAGTGAGGAGGTACCGTGGGTGTTAGGTGACTAGTGTGGGTCACATAATGTTGTCAGAACAGTGAGGGGGTACCGTGGGTGTTAAGTGACTAGTGTGGGTCACATAATGTTGTCAGAACAGTGAGGAGGTACCGTGGGTGTTAGGTGACTAGTGTGGGTCACATAATGTTGTCAGAACAGTGAGGAGGTACCGTGGGTGTTAGGTGACTAGTGTGGGGTCACATAATGTTGTCAGAACAGTGAGGAGGTACCGTGGGTGTTAGGTGACTAGTGTGGGGTCACATAATGTTGTCAGAACAGTGAGGAGGTACCGTGGGTGTTAGGTGACTAGTGTGGGGTCACATAATGTTGTCAGAACAGTGAGGAGGTACCGTGGGTGTTAGGTGACTAGTGTGGGGTCACATAATGTTGTCAGAACAGTGAGGAGGTACCGTGGGTGTTAGGTGATTAGTGTGGGTCACATAATGTTGTCAGAACAGTGAGGAGGTACCGTGGGTGTTAGGTGCCTAGTGTGGGTCACATAATGTTGTCAGAACAGTGAGGAGGTACCGTGGGTGTTAGGTGCCTAGTGTGGGTCACATAATGTTGTCAGAACAGTGAGGGGGTACCGTGGGTGTCAGGTGACTAGTGTGGGTCACATAATGTTGTCAGAACAGTGAGGGGGTACCGTGGGTGTTAGGTGACTAGTGTGGGTCACATAATGTTGTCAGAACAGTGAGGAGGTACCGTGGGTGTTAGGTGCCTAGTGTGGGTCACATAATGTTGTCAGAACAGTGAGGGGGTACCGTGGGTGTCAGGTGACTAGTGTGGGTCACATAATGTTGTCAGAACAGTGAGGGGGTACCGTGGGTGTTAGGTGACTAGTGTGGGTCACATAATGTTGTCAGAACAGTGAGGAGGTACCGTGGGTGTTAGGTGACTAGTGTGGGTCACATAATGTTGTCAGAACAGTGAGGAGGTACCGTGGGTGTTAGGTGACTAGTGTGGGTCACATAATGTTGTCAGAACAGTGAGGAGGTACCGTGGGTGTTAGGTGACTAGTGTGGGGTCACATAATGTTGTCAGAACAGTGAGGAGGTACCGTGGGTGTTAGGTGACTAGTGTGGGTCACATAATGTTGTCAGAACAGTGAGGAGGTACCGTGGGTGTTAGGTGACTAGTGTGGGTCACATAATGTTGTCAGAACAGTGAGGGGGTACCGTGGGTGTTAGGTGACTAGTGTGGGGTCACATAATGTTGTCAGAACAGTGAGGAGGTACCGTGGGTGTTAGGTGCCTAGTGTGGGTCACATAATGTTGTCAGAACAGTGAGGGGGTACCGTGGGTGTCAGGTGACTAGTGTGGGTCACATAATGTTGTCAGAACAGTGAGGGGGTACCGTGGGTGTTAGGTGACTAGTGTGGGGTCACATAATGTTGTCAGAACAGTGAGGAGGTACCGTGGGTGTTAGGTGCCTAGTGTGGGTCACATAATGTTGTCAGAACAGTGAGGGGGTACCGTGGGTGTCAGGTGACTAGTGTGGGTCACATAATGTTGTCAGAACAGTGAGGGGGTACCGTGGGTGTTAGGTGACTAGTGTGGGTCACATAATGTTGTCAGAACAGTGAGGAGGTACCGTGGGTGTTAGGTGACTAGTGTGGGTCACATAATGTTGTCAGAACAGTGAGGGGGTACCGTGGGTGTTAGGTGACTAGCGTGGGTCACATAATGCAGAACATAATCACAGAACCCTTTCGGAGAAAAAGCGCCACTGAGTGATTGTCGTAGTTTATCCTGGGTTACTAGGCCTCCTTATTAATATTCCAAATGTAATCTAGGCTACAGAAAAAAATATTATTTTTCCACTGGTAACATACTGATACGTTGATGGGAATACTTGTTGCAGGTTAGGTTAGGTAAGGTTCGTTCGTCTTAGTCAGATGATGACCCGCCTTTGGAGCTTTTGGTCATCTGACCGAGGCCTTCCGCTGGCTTACCGGTCCACCCCTTTAAAAATTATGGTCATTTATAACCAGTCTACTTGTTGCAGCAGTGATCTAACTTGCTCATCGTAATGTGAAATGTATTGAGTGCATACAACATTTACAAAATCTTTTGATATGACAGGCAGTATAAACCTGTACATTAATTCTGGGGGTACTTAAACTTTATAGGAATACAGCAATGATATATTATATGACTCTAACCTAATCTAATCTTTTGATATGACAGGCAGTATAAACCTGTACATTAATTCTGGGGGTACTTAAACTTTATAGGAATACAGCAATGATATATTATATGACTCTAATCTAATCTAATCTTTTGATATGACAGGCAGTATAAACCTGTACATTAATTCTGGGGGTACTTAAACTTTATAGGAATACAGCAATGATATATTATATGACTCTAATCTAATCTAATCTTTTGATATGACAGGCAGTATAAACCTGTACATTAATTCTGGGGATACTTAAACTTTATAGGAATACAGCAATGATATATTATATGACTCTAACCTAAGGTGACCTAGTTAAGATCTACGTGGAAATATTGTGTATCTGGAAGCGTAAGCACTGAGAGCACCATTCTTGATGCCCTTTGAGTTGACTTTAATCTCGGAGACTTATTTTCACCGAGGCTCTTATAAATTATCATACAGTTTACCTGGAGAAGATTTCGGAGGTCAACGCCCTAGCGGCCTGGTCTGTAACTAGGCCTCATGGTGGATCAGGGCCTGATCAACTGGGTTGTTACTGTTGACCGCACGTAAACCGACGTGTGAACTACAGCCCGGTTGGTCAGGTAATGACTTTAGGTGGCTGTCCAGAGCCTTCTTGAAGACAGCCAGGGGTCTATTGGTAATCCCTCTTATGAATGCTGAGAAGCTATTGAACAGTCTTGGGTCCCTGACACTTATTGTGTTGCTTTTTTCATCTTGCTAGTGACACCCCTGTTTTTCATTGGGGGGATGTTGTACCTCTGCCGAGTCTTTTAATTTCGTAGGGAGTGATTTTCGTGTGCAAATTTGTTACTAGTCCCTCTAGGATTTTCCAAGTGTATATAATCATGTTTCTCTCTCTCCTGCGTTCCAGGGAGTACAGGTCAAGGAGCTTCAACCATTCCTAGTAATCTACGTGTTATATCGTACCTATGTGCGCCGTGAAGGTTTCTGTGCATTTTCTAGGTCAGGAATTTCACGTGCCTGAATACCCTCCAGTTTTCTCCACACATCGTTTCACACATTCGGGTTTAGTGCTTGCTCGATGAATATAATAATTAGCACAATTTATATAGCATGGTCTCTGAGTGCTGCAGAAACGGCTACAGAGGTTGACACGAGACATGACTGTCACACCTTCACAAAGAATTTCTGTGAAAAAAAATATGTTGAACGAAGATGTTATATAAAATAAACAAATATGAATTAAAAATTCGATCAATGTTAAGGAAGGAACAGAAATAAAAAAATATATGTGAGACAAGATGGCGCTAAACTCATATGGAAAGCTGAAGGCCGATGCTACATTAAAGCAGTGTCTGCTATATTAGAGCAGTATCTGCTACATTAAAGCAGTGTCTGCTATATTAGAGCAGTATCTGCTACATTAAAGAAGTATCTGCTACATTAAAGCAGTGTCTGCTACATTAAAGCAGTGTCTGCTACATTAAAGCAGTGTCTGCTACATTAAAGCAGTGTCTGCTACATTAAAGCAGTGTCTGCTACATTAAAGAAGTATCTGCTACATTAAAGCAGTGTCTGCTACATTAAAGCAGTGTCTGCTACATTAAAGCAGTGTCTGCTACATTAAAGAAGTATCTGCTACATTAAAGCAGTGTCTGCTACATTAAAGCAGTGTCTGCTACATTAAAGCAGTGTCTGCTACATTAAAGCAGTGTCTGCTACATTAAAGTAGTATCTGCTACATTAAAGCAGTGTCTGCTACATTAAAGCAGTGTCTGCTACATTAAAGCAGTGTCTGCTACATTAAAGAAGTATCTGCTACATTAAAGCAGTGTCTGCTACATTAAAGCAGTGTCTGCTACATTAAAGTAGTGTCTGCTACAATAAAGCAGTGTCTGCTACATTAAAGCAGTGTCTGCTACATTAAAGCAGTGTATGCTACATTAAAGAAGTGTCTGCTACATTAAAGTAGTGTCTGCTACATTAAAGCAGTGTATGCTACATTAAAGCAGTGTCTGCTACAATTAAAGTAGTGTCTGCTACTTAAAGTAGTGTATGCTACATTAAAGTAGTGTCTGCTACATTAAAGCAGTGTCTGCTACATTAAAGTAGTGTATGCTACATTAAAGTAGTGTCTGCTACATTAAAGCAGTGTCTGCTACATTAAAGCAGTGTCTGCTACTTATACGTTTTATGACTCTCTGACCGCGGGTTCTAACCCCACCCGTCGTATGGTTTATCTGAGAAAGATATTCTTACAATGATTCATGGTATCTCCTGGTAGACAATGTTCTCTCTTCACACTCTGAATGTCCGTGGTTTACTCCCAGGCAAGTGTGGACTCACTGGGCGTGTTTCCCTACGCCTGCTGACCCTGTTTACCTAGCAAGCAAGATGGTACCTGGGTGTTAGTCGACTGGAGTGGATTGCATCCTGGGAGAAAAGTATGAAGGATCCCAATGGAAATTAAACAGTCCAAGATGACACACTAACTGTGGCTAACCCTTCGGTGATTAAAAATCCGAAGAAAATCTTATAACCGTGCAGCCAGCAGTAACACCCCGGTTGATCAGTCCCTGATCCACCATGAGGCCTGGTCACAGACCGGGCCGCGGGGGCATTGACCCCCGGAACTCTCTCCAGGTAAACTCAAGGTAAACACCTTCGCTCACTCGTGAGAGGGGCAACAATACAGAGATTCACAGTCCCGTATCACTCCCTTCCCTGCAGCTTCTCTTACCTCTCCAATCAGCCAACAGCTTCGTCATGTTGGTTTCCATTTGCCTCCAGTTAATAACCATCTCTAAAGCTTCCTCCATCTCCCACAATGTTGTTGGACCTCGTCTTCTGAACGGCGGCGGGCAGGACGTTCTTGCTGGTCACATGAACGTTCGAGTGAGGTTCATCGGGGAAACAAGCCTGAATTGTCTGCAGAATATATGATCTAGTGAGTGAGGTGTTGATATTGGAGGGAGATGGTGATGGGCAGGTAGATGGTGATGGGCAGGTAGATGGTGATGGGCAGGTAGATGGTGATGGGCAGGTAGATGGTGATGGGCAGGTAGTAGATGGTGATGGGCAGGTAGATGGTGATGGGCAGGTAGTAGATGGTGATGGGCAGGTAGTAGATGGTGATGGGCAGGTAGATGGTGATGGGCAGGTAAATGGGGGTGGGCAGGTAAATGGGGATGGGCAGGTAGTAGATGGTGATGGGCAGGTAGTAGATGGTGATGGGCAGGTAGGTAGTGATGGGCAGGTAAATGGGGATGGGCAGGTAAATGGGGATGGGTAGGTAGATTGTGATGGCAGGTAGATGGTGATGTGAAGGTAGATGGTGGTGGGCAGTTAGATGGTGATGAGCAGGTAGATGGTGATGGGCAGGTAGATGGTGATGGGCAGGTAGATGGGGATGGGCAGGTAGATGGTGATGGGCAGTTAGATGGTGATCTGCAGGTAGCTGGTAATGGGTAGGTAGATTGTGGTGGGCAGGTGGATGGTGATGGGCAGGTAGATGATGATGGGCAGGTAAATTGGGATGGGCAGATAGATGGTAATGGGCAGGTAGATGGTGATGGACAGGTAGATTGTGATGGGCAGGTAGATGGTGATGGGTAGGTAGATCGTGATGGGCAGTTAAATGGTGATGGGCAGATAGATGGTAATGGGTAGGTAGATTGTGATGGGCAGGTAGATGGTGATGGGCAGGTAGATTGGGATGGGCAGGTAGATGGTAATGGGCAGGTAGATGGTAATGGGTAGGTAGATGTTGATGGGCAGGTAGGTGGTGATGGGCAGGTAGATGTAGTGAGCCCTGGTAAGGACTGTGATAGGCATGGGCTTGTTAGTGGGAGGAGAGGCGTGGGGTTGTTAGTGAGAAGAGAGGCGTGGGGCTGTTAGTGGGAAGAGAGGCGTTGGGCTGTTAGTGGGAAGAGAGGCACGGGGCTCTGAATGGGAAGATAGGCGTTGGGTTGTTAGTGGGAAGAAAGGCGTGGGGTTGTGAGTGGGAGGAGAGGCGTGGGGTTGTAAGTGGAAGGAGAGGCGTGGAGTTGTGAGTGGGAAGAGAGGTGTGGGGCTGTGAGTGGGAAGAGAGGAGTGGAGTGGGGATGAAGAGATACAGTGAGAGAATGTGAAAAGATAGAGAGAAAGAAAGAGAGAGAGAGAGAGAGAGAGAGAGAGAGAGAGAGAGAGAGAGAGAGAGAGAGAGAGAGAGAGAGAGAGAGAGAGAGAGAGAGAGAGAGAAAGAGAAAGAGAAAGAGAGAGAGAGAGAGAGAGATAGATAGAGAGAGAGAGAGGAGAGAGAGAGAGGAGAGAGAGAGAGAGGAGAGAAGAGAGAGAGAGAGAGAGAGAGAGAGAGAGAGAGAGAGAACACAATAACTTAATGGACGACACTCACGTCAACGATATAGTTGAGATGCTTCTTGATGATAAGAGATATAACATTGAAGAGAGAGTAAATGCAACAGCATCCCAACAACAACACCAGGAAGTTGACCACTTTGTAAGCCAGTACACTTTCTCCATAAAAGCTGTCCACCTCCTGTTTAATAAAGAAACACACATGTTACTTATTACAACAACTTTGATTCTGAAATATATATAGGTAGTAGGTTGGTAGACAGCAACCACCCAGGGAAGTACTACCGTCCTGCCAGATGACTGTGAAACAGAAACCTGTAACTGTTTTGCATGATGGTAGGATTGCTGGTTTCTTTTTCTGTCTTATAAACACGCTAGATAACAGGGATATCTTGCTACTCCTACTTACACTTTGGTCACACTTCACAGACACGCACATGCATATATATATACATACATCTAGGTTTTTCTACTTTTTCTAAATAGCTCTTGTTCCTCTTTATTTCTTCTATTGTCCATGGGGAAGTGGAAAAGAATCTTTCCTCCGTAAGCCATGCGTGTCGTATGAGGCGACTAAAATGCCGGGAGCAATGGGCTAGTAACCCCTTCTCCTGTAGACATTTACTAAAAAAGAGAAGAAGAAAAACTTTATAAAACTGGGATGCTTAAATGTGCGTGGATGTAGTGCGGATGACAAGAAACAGATGATTGCTGATGTTATGAACGAAAAGAAGTTGGATGTCCTGGCCCTAAGCAAAACAAAGCTGAAGGGGTAGGAGAGTTTCAGTGGGGGAAATAAATGGGATTAAATCTGGAGTATCTGAGAGAGTTAGAGCAAAGGAAGGGTAGCAGTAATGTTAAATGATCAGTTATGGAAGGAGAAAAGAGAATATGAATGTTTTAAATTCAAGAATTTTGTGGATTAAAGTAAAGGTTGGATGCGAGAAGTGGGTCATAATAAGCGTGTATGCACCTTGAGAAGAGAGGAATGCAGAGGAGAGAGAGAGATTTTGGGAGATGTTAAGTGAATGTATAGGAGCCTTTGAACCAAGTGAGAGAGTAATTGTGGTTGGGCACCTGAATGCTAAAGTAGGAGAAACTTTTAGAGAGGGTGTGGTAGGTAAGTTTGGGGTGCCAGGTGTAAATGATAATGGGAGCCCTTTGACTGAACTTTGTATAGAAAGGGGTTTAGTTATAGGTAATACATATTTTAAGAAAAGAGGATAAATAAGTATACAAGATATGATGTAGGGCGAAATGACAGTAGTTTGTTGGATTATGTATTGGTAGATAAAAGACTGTTGAGTAGACTTCAGGATGTACATGTTTATAGAGGGGCCACAGATATATCAGATCACTTTCTAGTTGTAGCTACACTGAGAGTAAAAGGTAGATGGGATACAAGGAGAATAGAAGCATCAGGAAGAGAGAGGTGAAGGTTTATAAAATAAAAGAGGAGGCAGTTAGGGTAAGATATAAACAGCTATTGGAGGATAGATGGGCTAATGAGAGCATAGGCAATGGGGTCGAAGAGGTATGGGTAGGTTAAAAATGTAGTGTTAGAGTGTTCAGCAGAAGTTTGTGGTTACAGGAAAGTGGGTGCAGGAGGGAAGAGGAGCGATTGGTTGGAATGATGATGTAAAGAGAGTAGTAAGGGAGAAAAAGTTAGCATATGAGAAGTTTTTACAAAGTAGAAGTGATGCAAGGAGGGAAGAGTATATGGAGAAAAAGAGAGAGATTAAGAGAGTGGTGAAGCAATGTAAAAAGAGAGCAAATGAGAGAGTGGGTGAGATTTATCAACAAATTTTGTTGAAAATAAGAAAAAGTTTTGGAGTGAGATTAACAAGTTAAGAAAGCCTAGAGAACAAATGGATTTGTCAGTTAAAATAGGAGAGGAGAGTTATTAAATGGAGAGTTAGAGGTATTGGGAAGATGGAGGGAATATTTTGAGGAATTGTTAAATGTTGATGAAGATAGGGAAGCTGTGATTTCGTGTATAGGGCAAGGAGGAATAACATCTTGTAGGAGTGAGGAAGAGCCAGTTGTGAGTGTGGGGGAAGTTCGTGAGGCAGTAGTAAAATGAAAGGGGTAAGGCAGCTGGATTGATGGGATAAAGATAGAAATGTTAAAAGCAGGTGGGATATAGTTTTGGAGTGGTTGGTGCAATATTTAATAAATGTATGGAAGAGGTAAGGTACCTAGGGATTGGCAGAGAGCATGCATAGTTCCTTTGTATAAAGGCAAAGGGGATAAAAGAGAGTGCAAAAATTATAGGGGGATAAGTCTGTTGAGTATACCTGGTAAAGTGTATGGTAGAGTTATAATTGAAAGAATTAAGAGTAAGACGGAAAATAGGATAGCAGATGAACAAGGAGGCTTTAGGAAAGGTAGGGGTGTGTGGACCAGGTGTTTACAGTGAAACATATAAGTGAACAGTATTTAGAAAAGGCTAAAGAGGTCTTTGTGGCATTTATGGATTTGGAAAAGGCGTATGACAGGGTGGATAGGGGGCAATGTGGCAGATGTTGCAAGTGTAATGGTGTAGGAGGTAGTTACTGAAAGCAGTGAAGAGTTTTTACGAGGATAGTGAGGCTCAAGTTAGAGTATGTAGGAAAGAGGGAAATTTTTTCCCAGTAAAAGTAGCCTTAGACAAGGATGTGTGATGTCACCGTGGTTGTTTAATATATTTATAGATGGGGTTGTAAGAGAAGTAAATGCGAGGTCTTGGCAAGAGGCGTGGAGTTAAAAGATAAAGAATCACACACAAAGTGGGGAGTTGTCACAGCTGCTCTTTGCTGATGACACTGTGCTCATGGAGATTCTGAAGAGAAGTTGCAGAGATTGGTGGGTGAATTTGGTAGGGTGTGCAAAAGAAGAAAATTAAAAGTGAATACAGGAAAGAGTAAGGTTATGAGGATAACAAAGAGATTAGGTGATGAAAGATTGAATATCAGATTGGGGGGAGAGAGTATGGAGGAGGTGAACGTATTCAGATATTTGGGAGTGGACGTGTCAGCAGATGGGTCTATGAAAGATGAGGTGAATCATAGAATTGATGAGGAAAAAGAGTGAGTGGTGCACTTAGGAGTCTGTGGAGAAAAAGAACTTGTCCTTGGAGGCAAAGGGGGGATGTATAGAGGTTATAGTTTTACCAACGCTCTTATATGGGTGTGAAGCATGGGTGATGAATGTTGCTGCGAGGGGGAAGGCTGGAGGCAGTGGAGATGTCATGTCTGAGGGCAATGTGTGGTGTGAATATAATGCAGAGAATTCGTAGTTTAGAAGTTAGGAGGAGGTGGGGGATTACCAAAACTGTTGTCCACATGGCTGAGGAAGGGTTTTTGAGGTGGTTCGGACATGTAGAAGAATGGGGGCGAAACAGAATGACTTCAAGAGTATATCAGTCTGTAGTGGAAGGAAGGGGGGTAGGGGGCGGCTAGGAAAGGTTGGAGGGAGGGGTGTAAGGAGGTTTTGTGTGCGAGGGGCTTGGACTTCCAGCAGGCATGCGTGAGCGTGTTTGATAGGAGTGACTGGAGACAAATGGTTTTTAATACTTTTACGTGCTGTTGGAGTGTGAGCAAAGTAACATTTATGAAGGGATTCAGGGAAACCGGCAGGCCGGACTTGAGTCCTGGAGATGGGAAGTACAGTGCCTGCACTCTGAAGGAGGGGTGTTAATGTTGCAGTTTAAAAACTGTAGTGTAAAGCACCCTTCTGGCAAGACAGTGATGGAGTGAATGATGGTGAAAGTTTTTCTTTTTCGGGCCACCCTGCCTTGGTGGGAATCGGCCAGTGTGATAATAATAATATATATATAATATATATATATAAATATATAAATATATATTATATATATATATATATATATATATATATATATATATATAATATATATATATATATATATATATATATATATATAATATATTATATATATATATATAATATATATATATATATATATATAAAGATGACAAAATACATTGACAAAGATACAATAGGGAGTAAAACAACATAGATAACAACTCAGAGCTACATCTCGAATACTTCGTCCAGCTCCCCGGCGGTGGGCCACGTGCCCAGAATGCTGCAGGCATTTCCCCTCTGGAGCTTTAGAGCACACTTGCCCCATGCTCCATGGGTCTCCGACCCCTATTGGAATGAAGTTATTGCTCTCATATTTGCGAGTGTTCTGGGTCTCCCTGTGGCTGGCAGCTCCACCCCGTTCAGCTATGTAGTATGGGAAGTAGGTGTCTGCCAATGTGGCGGCACAGGTGTAGTCCCAGGCAATCTGTTTTCCATCCTTTCAGGGTAGCATAATGACCCCATCAGGACGCTTTTGACTTCCGTCAGACCTCTGCACTTGGGGTTCCCGTTGGGCTGGGCAACGGGCTGTGGCGAGGCTTCTCTTTATAATGTCATTGACCTCCTCATGTCTGGCATACTTCCCATTTGATCTGTGACACAGAACCAAGTCATATTATTAGACGTCGCCCTGCCGCAATTACACCTAGTTCGGGGGGTTTGGGGGCAGCTAGGCGAAGACAACAACTTCGAAGGGCCCTTGGGTCGAGTCGAGTGCCCAGGGAGGAAGGGGAAAACAACTAAAGGAAATCTCCGGGGTTTTGGTCCCTTCCCGCTAGAGACAAGTTTTGCCCTTTTCCAGAATCGTTGGTGACATTTTGTTGGAATTTTTTCCATGATCGGTTTGTCCTATGGGATTGTTTGTGCTCTTTGTGTGGGGCGTCATGAGTTTTCCCACCATTAGGGGGGCCAAAGCAGCATGGGTTCGAGTCATGGCTAGTGCAGTGTTATTTTTTGATCACAACCCATTGTTCGGGGTGCAATAAATATATATATATTATAAATATATATATATTAAAATATATATATATATAAATTATATATATATATAATAATATATAATATTATGTTTATATATATAAAAAAAAAGAACCGCAACGGGCCTACTCCCCCAGCGGGCAGGCCATGCCCTCCCCCCGAAACCCCCAATGACCCACCCATCTGGTCACCTGGTTCTGCTTCTGGGGCGGCCCCTTATTTTTTTTTTTTTCAGTCTGAGTTATAACATTTTTGTATGTTTTTTTAGTTTTTTATTAATCATTTTAGATCAATTCTGAAAAAAATAAGCCGTAGATTGTAATACTGATATAAGCGAAA